CAATAAAACGAGTTGCCTCAAAGGGACTATGACTTAGGGATTTTCGTGTTTCATAAAATTCCCAAAGGGTAGGTTATTCCCTGGAATCTTATTCGCATACTCCATTCCTGGGACAACAAGGTGCTTTCATACATACGGGTCAGTTGTCATCTCGTTCAGTTACTCTTCTATGTAAAGCAAGCCCAAACCTAAGGGATGGCTGTTCCCAGGGAGAACTTTGATTTTTACTGCAACTGACATGTTTGAAAGGATATGTCAGTTCAGGTGAAAATGCTTTTTTTTTCCCCACCATGTATTGAAATGCACAATTTCATTTCAAACTGACATTTAGAATGAAACTCCAGCGTTTCATTTTTTTAATGAACGATGTGTTTCCATGTGCTTAAGTATGTGAAAACACAGCAAACATCCTCCCATTATGGTTTAAAACAACATATAAGAAAACCAGTTTTTTTCCAGAAATTTCAAATCAGTATTTATTCCTTTTGCTTGAAATTTCCTAGGAAAAAATTGGATTTTCTTCTTTTGTCTGTATTGATTTGTGACTGTGAGTACACGTAAAATATCCCTATGGATTACTGCAAGCATTGAATCCTTTCCTGGTGATGACATTTTTTCCTCATACTGATTTATGAAGACTATTGACAATCTCTGTTCTTGTGTTGAGAAATCAGTTCAAGATGAGAGGGAAAAAAAGAAAATTAAACAGCAATGTTTCATTTTAACTCTTTGGAGCACTACATCTCACTGCTCATATTGCTGTCCTTCAGCTTTGCCTGCATTTTTCAAGGAAGGATTGAAGAACAGAGAAGCCACAGATGGTGCTACAGCCACGCTGCACTGCGAGCTGAGCAAGGTCGGTGTCCCGGTAGAGTGGAAAAAAGGGGACAAGACACTCAAACCGAGTGATAAGTATAGGATGAGACAAGAAGATACCACTGCAGAGCTGTTGATCCGAGATCTGGAGGTAGAAGATACAGGAGAATATACCTGTGTGTGTGGCGATCAGAAGACCTCAGCTGTTTTGACAGTCCATGGTAAAAAAAACATTCTCTTTTATGATAGCACTATTTCAGGGACATCCCTTTTCTCCAAGAGGTCTCTTTCCCACTTGCTTTGATGTTTTGATTCTGCAACGTTTTCTTGCTTTGCTGGCTGTGTTTCATCCCATCTCCCACTGTCTATCAAATTGGAACTGATGGCTTTAGACCAAAGTAAAGAAGAGTTCTGAGAATTTCTCATCTTAGTCTTCACTTTTTTAAAAGCGAAAAGGGCACCTGTACGTAAGCCCAAAAGTGTTCAGATCTCCAGCAGAAATCTTGTTCTCAGAGAGTTTTTCCTCGTGTCCCACTCATGTCAGTGGATTTCAGTGCTCAACTTGAAGGACCAATCTTTAAAAACGCTGAGCTCAGGTAGTGAGAGATTTTCCCATTCAGGAATGAATGACTGTCCTCCTCCTCTGTGGGACTGATATATTCTGCTGAGAAAATGGTGCTTTCCAAAAAAATCCCAAACCATTATTCTGCAGGTCCTGATTTAAGGAGTAGTGAGACAAGTTTTATTCCTGTCTCTGCCACGATGAGCAGTGACAAGCTTTGGTTGCCCCTCCAGCAGAGTTCCAATAGGTGAAAGAATAGTTTTTATTTGAGCTATATCTTAAGAATAAGCTGATTCCAAGGACCATGGCAAAACCATGGAGGCAAAACTCTCTTCTCTCAGATTTTCTACATGCTTTTACTTCCTCTTCTTTCTCCCAACTGGAGGTTCCTCAACTCCTCTGAGCTGACACTTTCTTCCCTCTGCAAGTCATTTCCTTTTTACTTTGGCAACACAGCACAAGGTGACTTGCTGAACGCTACTAGAAAAAAGGTGCACCTGAAGTTATACTATTTTTTTTTTTTTTTTTCCGAACAAGAAAGATAAATTATGGTGTCAGGAAAGGTAGAGATCTCCAGCCAGCAGTGCCATCGTCAGGGCCAACGACTTTCAATCAAAAGTCAGGTCATTAATGTTCAAGATAGACGAATTCAGACTGAAATAGGTAGAGAACACTGCTGGAATCAACTGGGAAATGATGAGCGTGCTGCATAAGTCAACATCAGAGGCAGGTCATGGTGGCAATTGTCCCTGTGAGATCTTGCAGCGATTTTCTAACAGATGCAGTTTTCAAGACTCTATATGATTTGTTTTCCTGTAATAGTGAAGGGCTGGCCTCAGGACCTCATCCTGATTTCCTCAAGGTCTGGTTAATGGTTTGATGTGCTCTCTGTTTGCATTACATCCCATAGCTTTGCCTGCACTGTTCAAAAAAGAACTGGTCAATACGGAAGCCACAGAAAACGGGACGGCTGTTCTGCAGTGTGAGCTAACTAAACCCACTCCGGTGGAGTGGAGGAAAGGGCAAAAGGTGCTCAAGCCTAGTGAGAAGCACAAAATGAGACTGAAGGATACCATTGCTGAGCTGACAATCCATAGCCTGGAGGAACAAGATGCGGGAGATTACACGTGCGTGTGCGGAGACAAGATGACTACTGCATCCCTGACAGTGCATGGTAAAATACATGAGTTTAATAGGGGTTTTCTGCTTTGTCATCTGTGATCTCATGCAGGATCACAAACTGATCTCGATCCCCTCTATTATTTTAAATTGCTTTGATGACTGTATCAATCACTGGGAATACCTTTTTCTGAAAGTCCTTCTCCTAGGACTGAGAAATAGCAGATACAGTCTTTTCTGTCCCTGTTCTTTCACATTGATGGAACCTGGAAGCAGATAATGAAGACCTCGGTAAAGTCTTAAATAACACTTTCATTATTTCCCTGAATTAATTTCTCTAGGCATATCACAGAGATTTCACTTATTTTTCTTGAATGGAATTGAAAGGTGCTCTGTAATGATAAAAACGGAGAAAGGCAGGTGAGAATGACACATTGCAGCCATAGTGTTCGTTTTCATTGTGCATCTGATCTCAAGACATGTCTATGCATAGTTCCTTGGAATCTTGGGATCAGCTTTCTGTTGTTATGTCTTAAAATGCCTTTAAAGCACGCTTTCCAGTACTGAAATAATAGTTTTACAACACTGATTTCCGAATCAGCTGTGACATGCTGAATGTGGTATGTTGCAAAGTACAAGGCAGGGATGCCCCCAAATCATTATTTGCCTCTCAGGTACTGTATATTCTAAAACTTTTAGAGATTAAAGTGTTTTAATCCAGTGGAGCAGTCAAGACACAGTATTTCCTCAGTTTTAAAGTGCTTTCTCTTCACCTGTGACCTTCAGCCCTTCCTCTGCGTTTTAAAAAAGAGTTGAAGAACGTGGAAGGCCCAGAAAATGGCACAGCCACTTTCTGCTGCGAACTGAACAAGCCCGCAGCTGCCGTGGAGTGGAGGAAAGGAGACAGAGCCCTGGAGCCAGATGACAAGTTCACCATGAGATGCCAGGGCACGATTGCCGAGCTGGTGATCCGTGGTTTAGATCTGACAGATGCTGGCGATTACACGTGCTCTTACGGAGATCAGAAAACCACCGCTGCGCTAAAAGTGAATGGTAAAAAAAAAAAGAAAAAAAAGAAAAATTTATATAACAAATCAAACGGATTGTTTTCAATCAGCTGGTTTTTAAAGTGGTTTTTAGTAGCAGCTTCGAAATTACAGCCTGGTTTCTGATGAATTTATCAACAAGTGGTAGGACAAACGCATAAATGTATGAAAGCACGGGGTCAGTGTCAAGCACAGATCAGGTGTTCATCACAAAAATTTCAGATATTCTCTTAGTACTAACTCATTTCTTTGCTCATGTTCAGCAGTAGTTGCTAAAAAAGGAAAATCACATTATTGTGATGTTGGTTGTAAAGATGCTACAGTCAAAGTTGAGAATATTACAATTTGGTGACAAGATGTTTTTGATAGATTTTTCAGCTTTTCAGAATAATTTGACGGTCAAGTTCTGCTAGACCAGTATCTGAGGAGAAATTTCATGGAAAAGTGAGATTGATGCCTCAGATACAGTTTAATTTGTGTATTTTTTTTTCAATAATGATTTGCATTGTGGTAGAACGTAGATGCTGTAGGCTTTATTTTCCATTGTGGTGGGCAATACCCAAAGTAAGGTAGGGCTGAGTCTTGCAGAGTCTGAAGAAGTTGAGATTTGTGTGGGTCTCTATTTCATGCCATAGATAGACCATATCATAAAAAAAGCTCTTACTTATTAATAAGGTGTTTTCCAGCTTTCCAAAGTCACTTTTATGGTTCTCAGAGCGGTTATCAATCCTACTTGATTAGAGAAGGCTTTGCTTGTCACATGGGGTTGACAGACCACAGATAAATTGTTGCTTGAATAGCTGCCATGGTCATACATTCTGCTCATTTTGAACTCCTCAGCCTTGCCTGCACATTTCAAGAAAGAGATGAAGAATGAAGAAGCCACAGAAGGTGGAACAGCCACGCTACAATGTGAGCTGTCTAGGGCTGCCTCTGTGGAGTGGAAAAAGAAACACAAAGTGCTCAAATCGAGTGAAAAATATACTATGAGACAGGAAGGTACTACAGCACAACTGCTGATCCATGCTTTAGAAGTCAGGGATGCTGGGGAGTATACCTGTGTGTGTGGAGATGTGAAGACTACTGCAGCACTGACAGTGCACGGTAAAGAAAACAGAAATGAGAAATTTTTGTGTGATGTTTCCCCTGTTTCCTCTGGAAGCCTCAGTACTGACACACAATGAGTTCTTTCTCTAATCTCGCCATCATTAATTCTGTTGGTAATGGATTTTCTTGGGTTTAGTGTGATTTTTGTTGTCTAGTTCTAACTAGAACTGTAGTTCCATTCATTATACTAATGTTTTCCCTGTGGTGTTCTCCTTGCTTTTGTTGGTGCACAGCTATACTGCTTTGCACCACACTGAAGGATTCCATGAGCTTGCGTTTCTTCATAGAATCATAGAAGGGTTTGGGTTGGAAGGGACCTCAAAGATCATCCAGTTCCAACCCCCCTGCCATGGGCAGGGACACCCACCACTACACCAGGTTGCCCAAAGCCTCATCCAACCTGGCCTTGAGCGCTTCCAGGAATGGGGCATTAGTGTTGCAGTTATCTGATTTTCTAGTATAACACACAAATACAAAGCAAAAGTTTAGGCTACAGCCTGTCAGGCTCTTTTTACAGAACCAATTAGGATTAAACATGGAATAAAAATTGCCCTCTCTTGACTTCTTACTCTTTAACAGTCTCCCATGAAAAGTCATTATTTGTTCTGTTTCCTTGCTTTTGACTGGAGCCTAGAGAGATGGAACAGCAGGAACATTCTTGCTTCTTAAAAAGAGAGATCTTGGATTTCAAGTTACATTAGGATTAGCCAGATAATTTTAAATAGTGCAAACAAAACTTGATTCAATGGAACGTTTTTGTGTAACTCTGACCAAGGATCATGTAGATTTGTTTTCTGATATTGCAGAATACTCAGCATTATAGTGTGAGATTATTTCACACTCCTCAAATTCATCTGCTAACTTTCCTTGGAAGAGATGGAAGCTTGATTTCCGTTATTAACATAGGAAAGTGAGAAGTGGTTTCAGCCATCTTTCTCACTGGAAATTCAGTAGGTCAATGAGTTGGTTTCTTTTTACTGCCCAGACTTTTTCATCTTGATATTTACCAATAAAACAAGGATGGCTTTTTTCTTGAACTTCCAGTTTAACCACGGGAAATAGAATTGGACAGGATCTCTATAGGTCATCTAGTCCATTCTTGAGCCTCAAGTCACCATCACGCCTACCTAGCCTCACTCCAGTACTCAAGAATTTGCAGTTCCCCTGGACACTCATTCCACTGCCTTTTCATCAATACTTCCAGAAAGTTCTTCCTAATTTCAACAAGTCTTTCTTGAGCTGGCTTAAGTCATTACTTCTTGTCCCATATCCTGTAGAAATTGAGAAATATTTGTATTTTCCTGTCTGTGAAAGATTAGAAGACTTATATCATGTCTCCTTTCCTTTTTCTCTTCTCTGGACTAAGCACCTTCAATCCTCTTTCTTCGTAGGTCATGTTTTCTAGACTTCAGGTCTTATTTGTTGCTTTCTGGCCCATCTTCAGTTAATCCGTACCTTTCTGAAAGTGTGGTGGCCAAAAGTAGACTACAGTGCTCCATCTGAGACTTTGACAGACTGGAGCAGGACAGAAGGGCTTCATGTGTCTTGCATATGACCCTTTGTTTATATACTCTTATTAAGATATTTGCTTTATTCACATCAGAATTGCATTTTTTAACTTGCATTTTCTCCATGATGCCTTGTAACACCAAATCTCTCTCTGCATATCTGCTGCCTACTGTTCATCATCTTGTATTTGTGTTGTCGATTGTTCCTAAATGTGGTATTTTGCACCTGCTTTTGCTGAATTGTAGCCTATTTTTTCATCACTGCTTCATCAAGACCTTCCATATCCTAATCCTTTTTAGCGAAGTGTTTTCAGCTTCTCTCCCTTCCCAGCTTGAGATCATCTGCAAAGTTAATGACTACTCTGCATTTAATTGTCCAAGTCACTAAAGAAAATGCTGAATAATACTGGACTCTGGAGTATTGAGGAATTCTACTCAACTCATTCTTTCATTGTGAGGATAAATCACAGTTGAATATTCATTCTTTGACTGTGGTTTACAAACTTGTGGTGCTTCCTACCATGGTTCCACCTATACCTAAGGGAGGGTAAGATCTTTCTTGACTGTCCTGGGAACTTAGGTTCTTGATTTACATGGTGAGAACTCAATGTGTGCATTTCAATCTGAGACCTTTTTCACCTCTGAGTGTCTCTTTATTCTATACTTGTGGAACACCACCCATTCTCTTTGACTTCTCCAGTGTATGATATTGTTTGAGCCTGTACTTTAAGTATTTCAGGGCAAATTTCACCACAACAAGGTGCTTTGAGAATATTCAGTTTATTTAAATGTTCTCGAGTCTTTTTTTTTTTTCTTATCCTATCCAGAATTCCTATTACTTTCTTAGCTATCATTAACTCTTAGTATTAAAGAAAAAGGGATTAAACACTTCACTTATTTCTTGCTGGTCAGAGTCAGGAATTGGAGGTCATCCTCTCCTGTTTTTTATATCTGTTCTATGTCCAAAAGTGGCTGCCACCCCATTCCAAAGACTTAGCAGATATTGTCCCATCTTGCTGTATTATCAGTACATATTAGAATCATAGAATCATAGAATGGTTAGGGCTGGAAGGGACCTTCAAAGGTCATCTAGTCCAACCCCCCTGCAAGGAACAGGGATATCTCCAACTATATTACCACCTTACCATCCAGTCTCATGCTCTGAAAGATTCTATTAGTTGTTCCAAAAGGGATGGGGTGTTAGGATGCACCTGAACTTCCTGGTGTGAAGGTCTTATAGCAGATTTCCACAATGGAGACATCATCTTTATTTTCCCTTTTTATTGTTACCCAAGCACTTTCAAGAGGTCTTTCTGATTCTGCTCTTTAGCCTCATCCTGACTCTTGGGCCAGGTCTGTAGGCATCCTTAACATGTAAGGTAAAACCTTTTCATTTTTCCCTTTAGCTTTTGTTCCTGATCATGGTGTAACCTGCTATATCAATTTCCTGGGCTGAATTATACTGAGAAAATTACAGTTTTGACCATATATGAACTTTTCCCATTCTCCATGCATCTCTAAACCAATCAGCAGATTTATCTATGGTATAAGATCCTTTTCTGTCTATGATACGTATTAGTATCTTCCTTCTGTGAGATGATTTTCATGTCAATAACTAGACATGGATAGACATTGGTAGACATCAGGTTCATTTTTTTTGGTGGCCAAGAACTGCTTATCATGAAAATGTTTGCTCCTCTGTTTCTCAGCCCTTCCTGCTCTCTTCAAAGAAGAGTTAAGAAATGAGGAAGCCACGGAGGGTGAAGTAGTCACTCTGCACTGTGAGCTGACCAAGACTGCTTCAGTGGAGTGGAAAAAAGGACACACAGTACTCAAACCTAGCGAGAAATACAAAATGAGGCAGAAGGATGCCACTGCAGAACTGGTGATCCATAATCTAAATGAGAGTGATGCTGGTGATTATACCTGCGTGTGTGGGGATAAGCAGTCCACAGCTTCCTTAGCAGTACATGGTAATAACTAATTTCGTCTACATGTCCTCATTATCAAGTTGATGGTTTGAATTCATTTTTTTCCCTCCGTGTTTGTTGTTAACGCTGCATAATTCCTCTGAGTCTGACTTCGCGTGTCATAGTAATGAGAATTAATTTGCATTGTGTGATTTAAGGGAAAAACCTTTACCCCAAGTCCTTATAAAAAGTGGTTTTAGGACCTGATCCTTAAAGTAGATGTGAGATCAGGCCTGAGGACAGCTCCCCACTGTTGCCCTCAGCTCTCCTTCCCCCAACCCTGCCCTTCACCTGGAGGCTGTGTTTGCTGCTCCGTTTTAACCCTCTGTCCCTTGCATCCTCAGCGCTGCCTGCACGCATCAAGGAAAGCCTGAAGGACAAGGAGGTAACAGAAGGTCAAGCAGTCACTCTGCTCTGTGAGCTGACCAAGGTTGCTCAAGTAGAGTGGAGAAAGGGAAGCAGTTTGCTGAGAGCCAGCGACAAATACAAAATGAGACAGGAGGGCACGGTCGTGAAGCTGCTTATCCATGACGTAGAATTGAAAGATGCTGGAGAATACACTTGTGTGTGTGGAGAACAGGAGACAACAGCTGCCCTGATAGTGCATGGTAAAAAACATATACATGTATCTGTACTATTATGTTTTTCTCTACCAGCTCATCTCTATTGGTTGTGTGTTCACCTGTGGAGGAATTTTGGTTTTTATATTTGCAAACTGTCTCTAAGATCTGGTTGCATCCAGGTTGCTTTTCTGTTTCTGTCTATTGGTTCGTCCCATGTCCCAAAATTATGGGGAAAGGAAACTCTTTCCACCCTAAAATATTCTCTGTTTCTGTACCACTGTGTCCCTGTCATTATCTGTGTGCCACGTGTCATTTTTAATGTCCGTTGTCTGTTTTGTGACCTTCAGCCCTGCCTGCACTTTTCAAAGAAGACCTGAAGGACCTGCAAGCCATGGAAAGCCAAACAGCCACTCTGCGCTGTGAGCTGACCAAGGCTGCAGCTGTGTCATGGAAGAAAGGGAATAAAATACTCAGGACAAGTGAAAAATACATCATGCGGCAGGATAATGCCCTTGCCGAGCTGGAAATTTGTGATCTAGAGCTGCAGGATGCAGGAGATTACACCTGTGTGTGTGGAGACCAACACACCACGGCTTCTCTGACAGTGAATGGTAAATTCATCTTGCAGATGACTGTTCATTTTTTTGTTTCTCTGAAATATCCTGTTGCTGTACGAAGTGCTGACCGATCAGCTTTTCCCTTGGAATTAATTTGTGTTCAGGAATGGAGAACTTCTTGTTCTGATGTTAAATTTTGGTCTGATATTCCTGAAAAGGTAGCTGAGGACATGATTATTTCTCCATGCAGACAAACTGCTATGTTATAAGTTTAAGGGAATGGTGCCTAGGAAATGCTCCTGTTAGACCAGGTGAGATGTCCTGCCCCCATGGAGGGTGGCCCTGTGATAAATTCTTTAAATTGCATCTTGAATCCATCCAGCCTGTTGTACTTTGTCCTGTCAGCTCAGCACTTCTTTTGTTACTGTCACTGCTGGATTTAGTTTTCCAGATCATTGTAGTGATAACCTCAACTTTAATGGCCAAAGACCCTGATTTGGCCAGATTTGAGCTTCAGTTGAGAATTCATGATGCTCATGGCATATGCAGAGATCCTAGTTTAAATACACTGTCTATTGACTTTCCATTCCCAGCCCTCCCGGTGCTTTTCAAGGAAGAACTGAAGAATGAAGAAGTCCAAGAAGGAGCATCAGTCTCTCTGCGTTGTGAATTAACCAAAGCAGCTCCAGTGCAGTGGCAAATAGGGTCCAAAGTGCTCAAAGCAGGTGACAAATATCAAATGAGACAGCATGGCACCACTGCAGAGCTGGTCATTCATAACCTAGAAGTAAAAGATGCTGGAGATTACACCTGTGTGTGTGGTGACCAGAAGACAACAGCAACCTTAACAGTTCATGGTAAAAAGACCTTATTAAAATTGAGAAGTAGCTCTATAGATAGATATCACTCTGAAATTCAGCTGTTTCTGCCCTGGGTCAGTAACTTGCCTTTGTTTTTATCCCTTACTCTTCCTTCATTCTATGTATAACTCATATCTTACTGAGAAAGAATAGTTCAGGGCAAATTTTAGGGTCATTATTAATCTGTCTCCCTTTAAAAGAAGAAAACAAGATGTTGGTTTCTGTCCAAGTTCCCTCTTCTTGGACATTTACATTTTCCAGCTGTTTTTCCCACCTCATGCTCACGATTCACTTCCACCAACCCGTTGTCTCCAAAACACACATGTATGGTCTGTCAAGCCCTCTGCTCTCCAAGCACTGCTCAAAGGAGAAGTGAGGCTTGGGGGAGCAGAAGGAGGTGGAGATGTCACTGACTATGACTTCTCCTGGGGGTACCAAATTCTTTAAACAAGTCAGACATGCAGAATGAGACAAGAGTTACCATTTCAGAGCTTGCTACCCTTAAGTTTGAAGGATGCAGGAGTCTACATCTCCGTTTGTGTGGATCAAGACTACCTTGACAGTTAGATATTAAAAAAAAAAACCAACAGCAGCACAGGTTATCAGCAGTTATACTCTTTTTTTTTTTTATCCTAGTAGGTCCCAATAAATCAATCCAGAAATAAGTCCTTGTGTTACATTAATAATCTCGTTACCTGGTGTCCTGCTCTGCTCTCATCAAGAAGTATCCATTTTAATGGAATAACAGTCCTTGGCTCAGAGGAACTTACTTGGTCGGAGAAACTCAGTTCTGTCTCCAACTTTTTTCCAAAACTTTTTGATTCCCCTCAGGTTTTGCTGAGACATGGACTTTTTCTGAGTCATTTGGGGAATACTGTTTGTATTTTGTACCCGCTTACAGTAGTGGTGTACAAAGCACAATGTAGATAAATGCTAATACCTAGTTTTCCTGTAGGTTGTTCTGTCTTTGGGTTATGATTTCCAAAATGAGGAATTTTGATAAAAGGAATATTAGATATAAGGAAGAAATTCTTCACTCGGAGGGTGGTGAGGCACTGGAACAAGTTGTCCAGAGAAGTTGTGGCTGCCCCATCCCTGGAAGTATTCAAGGCCAGGTTGGATGAGGATTTGAGCAACCTGGTGTCCCTGGCCATGGCAGGGGAGTTGGAACTAAATGATCTTGATGGTCCCTTCCAACCCAAACCATTCTATGATCCTATAGTAGGCTGAAAATGGAGGCATGAGAGGAAATAATCCCAAGCACAAAAAAGAAATTAGGATTTTTAGTTCTGGTTTTCTGATGACTGTTTGTCCCTGTTGCATCCTTCAGCTCTGCCACCACTCTTTAAGGAAGAGCTAAAGAACAAGGAAGCAGAAGAAGGTGGAGAAGTCGCCCTACGCTGTGAGCTCACCAAGGCTGCTCCGGTGAAGTGGCGGAAGGACCAGAGGATTCTCAAAGCGAGTGAGAAATACAAAATGAGGCAGGAAGGGACCAAGGCAGAGCTGGTGATTCATGAAATAGCTGAGGAGGATGCAGGAGACTACACCTGTGTGTGTGGAGAACACCAGACTACAGCTATCTTAACAGTCCAGGGTAAAAATTATCTTGATCTCCTATTTCCTAACTGGAAATGCCTGTCCTCTACCATAAGGTGTTCAATTTTCCATGTCTGTTTGTTCAACCTTATTAACAGAAGTTCCATTCATTTGAAATAGTATTCCCTGCTTTGATGACCTGCAGGCTGTGTATTGGAAAATACTGGTCTGTATTTTTCTGTGCCATCCTTTTGTCTTTTCCTTTCCTTAAACACAAACCTGCTATGCTTTCATCTTTCCCTTCTAGCATTCCTTTCCTAGCACATAAACCCACTATTCTTTTCTCTTTCCTTTCCTCCATTTCTTTTCTACTCACAACTGTTTATTCTTTGCCAACCCTTTCTGGCATTCTCAATACTTACTGGTTTAATGTAGTACTGGGTACATTAAGCAGCATCCAGAATCAGGCTGTGTTAATTAGAATTTCTTCTGTGCTGACTTACGTTTGTGTTGGGTTTTGTGCCCATAACTGCACAAAGATAAGTTTGGTCTGGGAGTCTGATTTTCTAAGCAGGAAAGAACAAATTCTTTCTGTGACCTCTTTCTGGTCTTATTTTGTTGCAAGAACCAGTTGCTATGCAACCCAAACTGGTGTTTCAGCTTGACACTGCTGGAGATGGGAAGCATGCAAAATCAAGGAGGCTAAACCTGCTTTCTAGCCTGGATGGTTTAACTTAGCTCCACCACTATGGAGTGAGTCATTAAGTTTGAGATCTGAGCTATCCAACCTTGTTAAGGAGGTGGAATATCCCATTATCCCACCTAGTTAATAGAGGAACATACGTTAAGGTCACCAAATTTATTTCAAGGAAATAAAAGTGAGGAAAATATGTTCTGGAATGTGAAAACAGGCTGGGAATTCAGCATCTGGAGACTTTCTTTGGTGTCAAGAGGCATCCGTGAGCCCTGGTTGCACCTTCTTCAAGGAAGAAGGAATGATGATGAGTAAAGGACCTGTGCCAACACTCAGAGGTCAGCAGAGCAGCTCTTTAAGTCAGAAGAGAGAGTACAAAGGCATGAAGTTTGTGGAAGTCATCAACACGTGTGAATTAAGGGGCTCAAAGATTATATTCTTAGTTCCTCTGACATGGAGACTGGTAGAAGGCAGGTGTAAATCTGTGGAGGACAGTGCAGTTTTGCTAGCAGGAAGCCAGCATAAACCCAAAGGTTTAGGGTATATCCCACTAGGATGTTTTCATTTCTCTTTCCTCTCTTTGTTGCTGATTCTCAACCTTCACAACTTTCCCCTGTCATTTCCTACTCTCACCCATCCCTGGAGATGTCCTCAGTTTGTAATACTTTTTACCTGCACCCTTCAGCTGTGCCCCCGTTTTTCCGAGAAGAAATGACCAGCAAGGAAGCAGTAGAAGGTGGAACGGCCACTTTGTGCTGTGAGCTCAGCAAGGCATCTGCCCGTGTTCAGTGGAAGAAGGGCCATCGCGTCCTCTCCTCGGACAACAAGTACAGCATGAGACAGGAAGGCTGTGTTGTGGAGCTGGTAGTTCACGATTTAGACTTGGAAGATGCTGGAGATTATACCTGTGCGTGTGGAGACAAGACCACCACAGCTGCATTAACAGTGCATGGTAAAGTAATCCTTGAGACTAAGATCCTCCAAGCCTTAGACGTTCCCAAGTCTCCATTGCTATGGTCTGTTCCCATTCCCTTTCTCTTTGCTTGGGCTTTTGTTCTCCATTGGAATTTGCTCATGCTCTTCCTCCTTCTGCTAGAACTGGAAAAAGAATTGCCTGTTGGTGTTTGTCCTCCTCATCTGTGCTGGTCCTTCTCACTTTCCTTGCCCTGATGCAGAGTCCAGGGAAGTCAGGGAAGCTTTTTCTGTTGTGTTCCACTGACCTGGCTCAGGGCTCAGTAGTGCACCATGCATCCTCTCTCCCAGGACCTCATCTAGCTGCTTTTTTAGGAATATTCACTCTCTCTCTGGTAATTCTTTTACTCTTCAGCACTGCCTCCAGAATTCAAAAAAGACCTGAAGGACCTAGAAGCTGTAGAAAATGGGACAGCTACTCTGCACTGTGAGCTAACTAAACCTGCTGTGGTGGAGTGGAAGAAGGGGCAGGAGGTGCTCAAAGCAAGCAGCAAATATAAAATGAGTCAAGACGGTGCTGTTGCAAAACTGATTATCCATGAGCTGGATGTGGAGGACACTGGAGATTACACCTGCGTGTGTGGAGACCAGCAGACAACAGCCACACTGACAGTCAATGGTAAAAAAAAAAAAAATAAAAAAAAATAAAAAAAATTAGAAAGAGGGAAAAAAAGGGAAAAGGTTATAATATATTCTGAAGATGAGAGCTGTGTGTTAGTGTCACTTATGGAGAAGAATTGGCTGCAATTCCTAAGGAAGGCATGCAGAATAGCATGGTCTATACAGCCTAATAGTGCAACCAGGTAGAAAATGGGAATTGCAAGGCAGAACTAAATGCATTTTGTCAGTATGTTACTTCCAGGATAATTGGAAACTTTCCTGCAAGCTGTCTGCCTCAAGAGTTCCCTGAACTGTTACAGCTTCCTACTGACCTCCAGAATATCTCCTCTGTGATCAGGGAAATGTGTTGACTACTTTTATAGTAGCAAAAATATTTTGCCATTTTTAGATGATAGATTAGATTATGCTTGTATATACTTCCTAGCAAACATCTTGAAATCAATTTCTTCTTGTTCTGCAAATATTCCTATTACCTCTCTGGGGAAATAGCCTTCTACTTTGAATCTAGAGCACTGAAGTTTAGAGATATCTGCAAAATCTCTTTTAGCACTTTGTTTTTCTTTCTACTTGCTCTTTCCCAACCCCCAATTGCAGCATGTTGCAAGTTATATTTCTATTTTATAGCCCTACCAGCACTTTTTAAACAAGAGCTTCAGAATACCGAGGCAGAAGAAGGTGGTACAGCAACACTGAGGTGTGAGCTTACCAAACCCAAGGCTCCAGTAGAGTGGAGGAAGGGAGATACTACTCTCTACCCTGGTTTGAAATACGAGATGAAGCAGCAGGGCTCCACTGCTGAATTGGTCATTTATGACTTAGAACTGGATGATTCAGGAAAGTACACCTGCGACTCTGGACATCAGCAGACAGCAGCTGTGGTCACCGTACATGGTAGGCAGAGTACCGACCCTTGGCTCAGTAGAGATGAAGTGGAAGGAGCATCTCTCAGTGTTCCCTATGGCCATTTATTTGTTTTCCTGCTGGTCCATGCCAGCAGATATATTCTACTTGAGCATGACACATAGAATCATAGAATCATAGAATGGTTAGGGCTGGAAGGGACCTTCAAAGGTCATCTAGTCCAACCCCCCTGCAAGGAACATGATCAAGTTAGGAAGGTTCTGCTTGTGGTATCTGGAGTGATTAACCAGCATCAAAACAATTAAATGTTGCCATGATGTCAAAATATGATGGACCCTCCTGCCCTCTGAGAGCAGGGAGTGTGGCTGCATATGGGAACGAATAACGGAAAATAAGCCAGGCAGGCTGATGATTATTTTGGGTTGTTGATTGCTTCAGTAGGCATAAGGGATGCCTAATTGGGCATAGTGCCCAGTTGGGATGGTAAGAGATGCAGCACTTGGGGAGAATGGATTTCTGTAGGATGTGAACGTGCTGTGTTATTACTTGAGGCTTTGAGCCTCAACTATAAACTTCGAGCGCAAATAACTGCATCCATATCTGTTTCCTCCACCCCTTCTACCACCCAGAGCAAGACCTTGCCTGAAATCTGAATTTCCTCTTCCATTTATCACTTTATTGTCATCTTTTACTGTACTGATGCTTCTTGTGTTTTGAATGCTAACTTGATGTTTTATATATTGCCGGAAGCTTTATTTGGGGGGAAAATATTCTTCACTTAATATTGCAGACTCTCAGACCTTTATTAAAGAACAAGGATCAGATCACAGTCCAGGCCATTCTATGGATCAGATCTAAGATCAGATCTTTCCTAACTTCACCATCTGTCCTCAGCTCTTGGTTCACGCAATGGTTCAAGAAAGTTTATACCAAGACAGACAGCTGCAGCCCAAAGATTGTGGAATAATTAGAATAGGCCATTTCTGAAGAATGATGGTAGGATAAGGTCCTTTCCAGGCTAAAACACTCTTAAAACCTTTTCCTCTCAAATTTTGCAGCACTGCCTGTCACATTTAAGCAACCCCTACAAAATAAGGAATCAGAGGAAGGAAGTACAGCTACATTCTGCTGTGAGCTGTCGAAACCCAATGCTGCAGTGGAATGGAGGAAAAGAGGAGTGGGGCTGCAGCCCAGTCAGAAATATGAAATGAGGCAGAGGGAGTGCCTGGTAGAGCTTTTAATACATAATCTCAAATTAGAAGATACAGGAGAATACAGCTGTGATACTGGGGATCAAGAAACCAAGGCATCTTTAAATGTGAAAGGTAGGTGGTGTGAGCCGACTCCTAAAGCAATAGATTTCATCCAACATGCAAAGCAAGTTTGAATATGACTATTTTGAAGTATGTGATTTTTTTCCCCGTAAATATTTTCCTTTTCATCTGATATACTAGGATTTCTTTTCTTTTTTTTTTTTTTCCAATGAGAATGGAAGAAGATGATACTTCGTTCTCTCAGTGCTGTGTTTGATTCTTGGATTCTAAGGAGAAATACTTTCTGACTTTATGGCTGGAGAGAAATTAAAAAAAGAGCAATACTTTAACATAATGTCTGGACACTTCACATGATATGTGGCTTAAATATTTTAAAAAAGATTTTCTTCTAAATCCTGGAAGAACACTGACAATAATCTTCCTCACCTGTCAAGGCTGTCCATGAACTTCTTTACTCTTGAGATCTTTGTTAGAACAACTGAAGGATAAATCCATTCAAAGAATTCAACCCTGGGAAGGATTTGAATCAAGGAACAAAGGAAATAAATGTTATAAGTGCTGAGGGCTGCTTCTGATGGAGCAAGATCTAGTAGCTCCAGGCAAATTAGAAAACATGGATCCTGCCTAGGAATATAGTACTTGCAAAGCACAGTATCTTGTTCTCCGAAGTGTCAGCCTAACTGTGTTAACCAGAACTTGACTCAGGTTTCAATAAAAGCTCCTGTTCCTTCTTCTTTTTTTTTTTCCTTTAGCTCTGCCAGTTCTTTTCAAAAAGGAGCTCGAGGACAAGGAGGTGGAAGAAGGAACTGCGGTGAAATTCCAGTGTGAGCTGACAAAGGATAATGCAACAGTGGAATGGAGGAAAGGCACGATGGAGCTCTTCCCATGTGCCAAATATGAAATTAAATTATGTGGTCGCACAGCTGAACTTGTGATTCATAATGTAGAACCAGAAGATACCTCTGATTACACGTGTGATACAGGAGACCAGCAGAGCACAGCAGTCCTCAGAGTGAATGGTTAGCATTGCTTCAAAATGGCACAGAGGATAAAAGGGGCTTGTAAAATTGTGTGAATGATATCCTTTTGTTTCATGTTTTCTATTTCTTCTATTTTTATTTTCAAGGGGTGAATAAGCCACTCCAAAAGTTAAGATAACGAGGAAAGCAGGTGCTCAATCATAAACCAGAATACAGAAAAGTGGATCTTATGGGACAGGATTTGTGGAATGGCTATTTCAGCCTGTAAAGCACACTGTACAGTGTGTTGACCCCTTCCTCTGATATGATAACTCTACATCAAGGGGATTTTGAAATTCTATTAGATCTTTATTTTTGGCACTTTATATTCATTGCTGGCTCGGTTGAATGAATAAGTAATCATAACTCGTTTACAAAAGCATTTTAAAAATCTATCATTTTCAATTTTTGTAATGCCTTCCCAGGAAGATCCTGAGGACACTGTGTTTAAACAAACCAGGAATAATGTCTGTGATTAATCGCCATCTAAGAAATGTTTGTGGTTGTCTCAGAGTGTTGGGTGCAACTTGTGGCTTTGATCTAAGCCACAACCTTTCAAACTACATCCTCTTGGCTGAACGTGACCCATGAAGCAGCCAGTGGGTCAACTATGAGTGAAAGAGCCCCGTCCTTGCTTTACATGTATCACAATAGGATTTGGACAAAAGGACCACGAACGCTGAGGTTCCTGTTTTCACAACTACTCACACATCACACATGATGAATTTTCCCTTCTCGTTTTCATCAGTGGCAAGCTGTTGTCTGAGCTGTTCCGTGCCCTGCTTGAATAAATGTAGTCCATTTGTGTGTGCATTGTCTGGAGGGACTCTCTGTTGGTGGCTTAGGGTCTTGAAAAGACAGCAGAGATGTAAGAGATGTGGTCAAAGCTTTACATCGTTTATGGTGCTGGAAGTCACAAGTATTTCTAGAAAAACTGACAGATTTACACTAGTTTTAATCAGAAAGTACCAGATTTTGTTTAGTAAAATCTTTACATATGTGAGACTTTTCAATATCCAGAGCAAATTTATAAAAGGTGTAATGTGGATGCCCTTGACTTTTTGGGAAACAAACATATTTGGGGAACTTTCTGATCCTCTCCTTTTCTGGATATACAGAACATAGGTCTGTTTCTAGAGAAAAAAGGGTTGTTATTGTCATACAACCACTTAATGCACATTTGTTCTGCAGCATCAGACCCCAGATGCCTTATGGTAAGTTGTCCAGACCTGGCACTCATGCTAATGAATCATGCACTGATTGTTTTCCACTTCGTAGCCATCAAACCCCGGCTGAAGCAGCAGCTGAAGAACGAAGAAGTGGAAGCGGGAGGAACGGCCAGGCTGCGCTGTGAGATTTCCACTAGCAAAGCAGAAGTGGAGTGGAGGAAAGATGGAGTCGTCCTTCACTCGAGTTCCAAGTATGAAATGTGGCAGGACGGCACCCTCCGCGAGCTGCGTGTTCATTGCCTGGAGCCTAGCGATGCTGGAGAGTATTCCTGCAAGGCTGGAGATGAGATGAGCTCTGCAAAACTGACTGTGAAAGGCAAGACCCATTTATTGGGGCAAGGGGATTTTCACTTTAGGATGCTAAGATTTTGCAACGTAATTGTTACTATTGTGATAAACTGTTGTGATTATTGTGATAAACACAGAGCAGCACACAAAAAAAAAATCTTGCAGTCAATGATTTTACTGAAGCAAAGATTCACTTGTTGGGCAGGAGAGGATAAAGCAGCTGTAATTTTGACTCATGGCTTGAAATGTTTGCTTGACATCAGATGCATGTGAGTGAACAGATGGTCCATCCCCACCTTCCAGTCGTATGGCAGCTGCATCTGGCCTTAATGTCATTACAGACAGAGCTTGCTGTCAGGTTGGACCACTGGTGTGGAAAAACACCCCCCCCCAGCCACTCTACAGGCTACTCCATATTAGAGATGCTCTGTATGCCATACCCAGCTGCACCATTTTTTGTGCAGAAAGTGACCTTAGTTGTATAAATATGTACTGTGTTTGCTGGGATGAAGACTGTGCTGCTTCTCCTTCAGCGCTCCCCAGCAGATCCAGTGTGCACACAGCTTTTGCCTGTTGCAGGCTGTTTGTGTGATCTCTGCAGAGATCTGTAGGTGCCCCGCTGTCCTAGAAGCAGGGCTCAAGCAAACTGAAGCACAGATGCCCTGTGCTCACACTCATCCAGTAAGTCCTGCTGAGAGCACAGAGCCAACGAGATCCCTAGCCAGTTTGGAGCACCAGCATGGAGTATATCCAATTCTATCTGCAAAACGACAGTGGAGAGGATCAGATCCTAATGTTATTCTGTGAAGATATCTTAGTGCCAATGTAATAAGTTTCAAAATCCTGAATTTGATATCTAGCATTCATGTCTTATTCACCTAATTGCATTACCAAATGTGTAATTAAAAAACTCAATACTCAATGTAACTCCGAGAAAGGGCAAGGAATAAAACCACTAATGGAAAGATACTGGCCATGTTACCAGTATGCTTAAAGCAGTGAACCAGAACCATTTGAAATGTGATTTGAGAAGTTGTGATGTGATTTGAGAAGGACATGGACTTGTTGGAGCAGGTCCAGAGGAGGGCCATGAAGATGATCTGAGCGCTGGAGCACCTCTCCTGTGAAGACAGGATTAGAGAGTTGGGATTGTTCAGCCTGGAGAAGAGAAGGCTCTGGGGAGACCTTCTAGCAGCCTTCCAGTACCTAAAGGGGCTACAAGAAAGCTGGAGAGGGACTTTTGACAAGGGCGTGTAGTGATAGGACAAGAGGCAATGGATTTAAACTGAAAGAGGAGAGATTTCGATTAGATACAATGAAAGTACAGAAACAGGCTGCCCAGAGAAGCTGTGGATGCCCCATCCCCAGAAGTGTTCATGACCAGGTTGGATGGGGCTTTGAGCAACCTGGTCTAGTGGAAGATGTTCCTGCCCATGTCAGGGAGGTTGGAGCTAGATGATCTTTAAGGTCCCTTCCAACATAAATCGTTCTATGATACTATGATCTTCATCCTTGGAGGTACTTAAAGCTTAGCTGGACAGGGTGCTGACTAATCTGCTGTAACCTGGCCCTGCTTTGAGCAGTGGTTGGACCAGATGGCCTCCAGAAGTCCCTTCCAACCTGTAATATTCAATGTTTCTATGATTTGATCCATGTTTTCCCTTTCATGACTTAACGACTGATGAACTGTTTGCAGAGCCTGACGTGACCATCGTGAGTGGCCTAAAGGACATGGTGGTGTTTGAAGGGGACGATGTCACGTTTCGATGCCAAGTTTCTCATGAAAACGCAAGGGATGTTGAATGGAAGCTACAGGATGTTGCTCTGCAAAATAATGAAATGAATGAGATCTCAGTGGAAAAAGGAAAGATTCACACCCTGACGTTAAGGAAGGTGACTGAGCAGGACATTGGCACCATCACTTTCCGAGTGGGACCCCACGTGTCAACGGCGGAGCTCACGGTAAAAGGTAAGGGCTTTCTGTGACGTGGGAGAGGAACAGGATTGGTGAGAACCGGTGATGTTTTGCTTATGCTAAGAGTAAATTCAAGGCCGTCAGCCACCCCTTGTTAGCTCACGTTAGTAGGGCACTTGTGCTTCAGAACCTACGTGATCCTACTGATGTGGTCTCATGTACTGTTGTCACTATGGATAGACAGTGGATATGTCACCGGGGTCCTGAAGCTTTCTAGAGCAATTACTGGGGTAGCTCCAGTAGGTAGATTGACACATCTGTCATTTTCGTCTCTTCCACTTCCCCTTTTCTTTTTTTTTCTCTTCTTCGGAGTCTTTCTTTCTCTAAATCCTGGATGTGTTGAAGAATAGGGTGGATGATCTACTTGAGGATATGGTTTAATGGGGATTAGGGATGGTTGGACTCGATGATCTCTAAGGTCTTTTCCAACCTAGAAATCTATGAATCTATGAATCTAAACCTTGTGTTGAAGAAATTCTCAGTCAAACATCCTCCTCCTTCCCTCTTTGAAGCCATTGGTCAAAGTCCCCATCCCATCCGAACCAGTTAAAACATCTGTTAAGTTTTTGATTAGTACTTCAGTAACTTCAACAAACGTTCGTGAGTGGGTTTCATCCAAAATCCATTCGCGTGTTTTAACCCCCCAACATATAACACAGAAATTAAAGTATTTTTTAATACTTAACAGTTCGGCTGGAGCTTTAACGCTGCGGGGAAACAAGATAAAGGTGACTGTAAATGCCTCTGCTGTGTTTGCAATTTCAGTGCCACCTCCAGTCTTCAAGGAGAAATTACAGAGCACAGAACTGCGGGAGGAAGACACAGCCATCCTCCGCTGCGAGGTCTCCCAGCCTAACGCTGCGGTGGAGTGGAAGAAGGGCACCCAGGTGATTTCCCCAAGCTCCAAGTATGAAATCAGGCAGGAGGGAACAATCCATACTTTAAAGATTTATCACTTAAAACCAGAAGACTCTGGCAAGTACACCTGTGACAACGGACATGAACAAACGACAGCCACTTTAACTGTTCAAGGTAGGTTCTTTTCTCTTCTTTTTAAAATGAGAAACTTGTTCCATTTCCTTAGCTTAGTACTATCAAGAGGATGTGATCTACTGTTCTTGACTTCAGATGTACTTTGCTGGCATAAAGCAGCTGAGTCCTTTTGCTTTCAGAAGTTAAGTCCTGTGGTGTCCTGAGCAATGCACATGGAGGAACCCAAGTGCAGTAACTGCTTCCACAATCTTCAACCCAAGGGCCTCTTTCTAGTCACTCAGAAAACCAAGACTGGAACTAAAATTAGAATGAGACCATTTTTGATGCTTAACCGTCCTTTGAGCTGTAATTCCACCTGGGAAAATGGTGCTCAAGAGTCAAAGTGCTCAAACTTACCTGGGCACTCAACTCCAGCTAACAAGCAAGGCACCTAAGTACTCCTAGTGCCTAGGACCTTAAAAATAGGTGTGATGTGCCAGTACATAAATTTTTTTTAAACCTACTCTGGTACAAATACAATACTAGGGTGACTAGGGCCTTAAAAATAGGTGTAATGTGCCAGTATATCATTTTTTTAAAAATCTACTCTCGTACAAATACAATACTAGGGTGACTTTTTCTGAATTACGAGATCAGCTAAAATAAAGAGGAGCCAAGAGATTCTCGTGAAATATCTTTTGAAATATCCCTTGAGGGCTCTCCCATGAAGGGCATGCACCTGCCTGCTATCCCACTAACTCCAGCATCCAGTGATACCAGAATAGTTGTGCTGTAAGTAGATCCTTTGATGGTGGCTGTCCATTTGTGTCTATGTGTGGTCTCAGCCACACCAGCACTCTTTGAAAAAAATCTCCAAAACCAGGAAGCTGAGGAAGGCTCTGCAGTCACCCTTCATGCTGAGCTCTCCAAACACAATGCATCAGTGAAGTGGAAGAAAAAGGTCAGTCTTGCTCCAAGCCAGTAACAAGTATGAGATGAAGCAGATGGGCTCTGCTGTGAAGCTACTCATCCACGATCTACAGCTGAAGGATGCTGGAGACTGCATCTGCGATTCTGGCAATGAGCAAACTGTGGCATCTTTGCTAGTGAAAGGTGACAAAAAGCTTTCACATCACCTTTGAAGTAGCTCTAAGTTAGTTTAGATGTTCCATACATAAGATTTGGGAACACTGTGGCAGAGAGTCTAGTCCTTGTGATAAAGATTTCTGAGTCAACAGTGACACAGTCTGACAGTCTTCGCAAAGACATACATTCTCTCTCCTACTTACTCCTTTGCTGGCTCCTAAAAGCCCTAAAGTTGCAGAACTGAGCTGCACAATGGGGTGACTTCCCTAAAAATGCAACTGTAGAAGAGCCTTGACCCCAGCCATCACCCAGTTGTCCCACAAAATACACCATCCATTTCTACATCATGTGCAAGCACCTTCAGATCTCTCTCCTCTTATACTGAATTCACTGTGACTTCCAGAATCCCATTTCCTTCCCTTGTAAATACCAGTTCAGCTGTAACTGTGGAGCCACCAAGGTTCTTCTAGGGAACTGGACTTGAGGAACTAAACTTCTACATGTGGCGCGTTGTAAATCAACTCACCAGAACTCCGTCTTGACCCATCAGGGATATACATCAGTGCAGTGACATCCAGAGTTCATCTCTTTTCTGGGTCCAGTTTTCACAAGAGGGATGTTATATAACATGTTTCTCCATGCACCTTCCCAAACACCCAAAAACTTGGGTATCAGGTGTAGCCTTTTGAGTTGTGACTTTGTACCCATTTGGAGATATATGCAATTAGATGCTCAAGAGTCCATGACTGCTCCTACGTATATTCCAAGAGGTGCTTGGTACATGCAGTGTCCAGTGTCTCTTAGGCAGTGGAAATCCTGGAAGTAGATTGGAAATCTCCTGGAAATCATAGAATCATAGAATGGTTTGGGTTGGAAGGGACCTTAAAGATCATCTAGTTCCAACCCCCCTGCCATGGGCAGGGAAACCCTCCACTACACCAGGTTGCCCAAAGCATCATCCAACCTGGCCTTGAACACTGCCAGGGATGGGGGAATCCAGCATTTCCGTCATTCCTTGTTTGAGTTTTAAAGTAATTTTGGAATTGGGTTTGAACCAAATTTGGAATGGCACCACAGTTTCACTAAACACAAGACTGAGTGACACAGTCAGCGATGAAACATAAATTTGTGCTCTGATTTATCTCTGTTTAGCTTTGCCAGTGGTCTTCACACAACCACTTCAGAACCAGCAAGCTGAAGAAGGTGGCACCATTACTTTGAGCTGTGAAATCTCAAAATCAAATGCTGCTGTGCAGTGGAAGAAGGCTGGGACAGCGCTACGGCCAAGTGACAAATACAAGATGCGCCAAGCTGGGTCGGTGGCTGAGCTGACGATTCGCAACCTGAGTGAAGCTGATGCTGGGGAATACACGTGCGACACAGGGGACCAGCAAACCAGTGCAGCCGTGCTGGTGAAAGGTGAGGCTTCGAGTGGGGCAGAGCTGAACCGAGCTTGGTAACATGGCAGGGGCACATGGTTAAGTGATTTGACAGCTAGACGTTGTCCTGTGCCCAAAGAATACCACGGGGAACTCTGAGATAAGCGTGATTTCAGAGTGATAAGAACTGGGCCGATTAGGGAAGCAGAAAAAATGGGTCTTTAGTCAATGGTTCTGTGATTTAATGTTAATGCCACCCACTAAAATCCGTTGTCAGTGTTTTCACAACAGGTAGATTGCATTATAAATATATATTTATTATGCACACGATACAGTATAACACGCATGCTTTATAGACTATCAAATATATGTGCATGGTATATATGCAATCATACATACATCATGCATCTGTAAGAACTTAAATTGTTACTACATGTCCTTGTATCTACATTTCCATACGTGTAGCACTTAGTGCCTTGTGGCTGTTCTTTCAAATAATATAGTACTGTCAAGAAAGAGCATAATGAAATGTTTAACCCAGAAAAAATAGGAAGCATCTCTTGAAAGTAGATACCAAACTCTGTTGACCTTTCCATAAAGAACCAGCAGCGACCATAGTGGAGACGCTGAAGGACATCACTTTGTATGAAGGAGAAGACGCAGTGTTTGAATGCAAGCTGTCCCGGGAAACAACTCAGGATGCCCAGTGGTTCCTGGGGGATGTTCCCCTGCAATCCAATGAAATGAATGAGATCAGAGTCCAAGGGACACGTCACACTTTGATCCTGCGGAGGGTGACACTAGACGACTGTGGGCCCATCAGTTTCAAAGTTGGGCAGCATACCTCAGCAGCACAGCTGACGGTCCAAGGTGAGCAACCTTCTCGGAGGAGAGATTGAGGAGGTACTGGTAAGCACTGTCGACATGGATATGGCTTTTGGAGAGGTGTACTGGGAGAGGGGTCCTTGGAAATTTTGAGAGATTCTGTTAACCTAACCTAGGCATTTAAGAGTTAGATATGTACATCTGAACTAGTAGTTTCAGTCCTTTTTATAGTCCATAAAGTGAAGTAAACATCCTTTGCAGACCATCCAACTTATCCTGAAGCACACAGCTAAGATATGTCGGAATCAATGCTGAAGAATGTCAAGAATATGCTCTGAATTAATCTCCCACTTGCGATGTTTATCCAAAAAAAATCCCAAAACGTTGAAAAACTTTTCACTAAGTTATATAGAATGATTTTGAAAGATGGGCCATGTCAGTGCCTTATCTTGTTTGTTCCTCTTTGATCTGGCTCAAAATGTAGCTATAGGCACCCGGTTCCGATCTGGGGGCAATGTTGGATATATCCAAGTGGTTGCAGCAGTGTTGGTACCCTCTTTCCCACAGTTTCTCCAGTCACCTTTGTAAAGACACTCCACAGCTTGGAGCTACAGGAGGGTGGCACGGCTCACTTGTCCTGTGAGGTGTCCAAGCCTGATATCCCAGTGGAGTGGAAAAAAGGCACGTCCGTCATCCGCTCGAGCCAGAAGTGCAGCATCAAGAAGGAGGGGAATGTGCACACGCTGGTCATTCACGATTTGAACCGTGCGGACTCAGGGGAGTACAGCTGCCACACGCCTGATGGGAAGACCACTGCCAAACTAGAGGTTAAAGGTATGATCTCCTCTTTGCTCAGCAGTGGTGAGAAGTGTGCTTGTCAATTTTTGGAGCTCCCCAGTACAAGAGGCCACCAAGTTTTTCAGGAGGCTGTAGCACATCAAGTATAAGGAGAGGCAGGGGTAGCTGGGTTTGTTCAGCCTGGAAGAGAGAAGGTTGAGGGGAGACCTCATTGGTGTTCTGCAGCTTCCTGATGGGGGTCTACAGAGGAGAGAGACAGACTTTCCTTGAGGTGCTTGGTAAACAGATTCATAGATTTCTAGGTTGGAAAAGACCTTAGAGATCATCGAGTCCAACCATCCCTAATCCCCATTAAACCATATCGCTAAGTAGATCATCCACCCTATTCTTAAACACATCCAGGGATGGGGACTCAACCACCTCCCTGGGCAGCCTATTCCAGTGGCTGACAACCCTTTCAGAGAAGAAATACTTCCTAACATCCAACCTGAATCTCCCCTGACTAAGCTTATACCCATTTCCTCTTGTTCTATCACCCAACACTAATGTAAAGAGCCCTTCCCCCACCTCTCCACCATCTTTTCTCAAGTATTTGTAGGCTGTAATCAGGTCTCCCCTCAGCCTCCTCTTCTCCAGGCTAAACAGCCCCAACCACCTCAGCCGCTCCTCATAAGTTTTATTTTAAGATGACAGGCAACGAGTGCAAGATGCAGCAAGAGAGATTCAGATTAGGATAAAACCCAACCTTTCACAACAAAGAGATGGTCAGGCACTGGAATTGGGACCCACAGGGGTGGAGAGTCTCCATCCGTGGAAGATCTCCAGAGGTTCCTTCAGCCTTCATTATGCTGTAATTGATCCCTGGCTGCATGGTCTGAGGTTGTTCATAAAATGGTGCAGCCTCAGGTCTGCAGGTGTGCATCCTTTGAGTGTTTTTATCCTGTATCATGGTTTTATTTTGGGGATGAAAAACCATCTGGGCTTCAGAACTTATTGGTGACATTAGTGGGGAATTCTTTGTGAAAAGTAATCTGGGATATGGGGAGAGAAATGCAGCTCCTATGAAATTATTTTTTTCCTGCTGGTTAACCCCTCTTTCTCCTCCTCCTCTGTCTGGCTTAGACCTGCCCCTGGCAGCTCTCCTTAGGTAAAGCTGGAATTGTGCATGAACATCGTGCATGGCATTATCAGTACCTTAAAACATTCCTTTATATCCTGTTTCTGCTTCACCCATTTTTTTCCCTTCTCGCCATCCCCCCTTTCAAGCCCTGCCCGTGCTTTTCAAACACTGGCTGAAGAACGAGGAGGTGGAGGAAGGGCGCACAGCCGTGCTGCGCTGCGAGCTGACGAAAGCCGACGCGCGCGTGGAGTGGAGGAAAGGAGGTACGGTGCTGCAGCCGAGTGACAAGTACGAGATCCGGCAGGAGGGGACACGCGTTGAGCTCTACATCTACGACGCCGAGGCTCAGGACGCCGGCGAGTACACGTGCGACTCGGGGGACCAGCAGACCACTGCATCGTTGCAAGTCAAAGGTAGAAGCCTTGCTTGGAGGCTTTAAGAGCAACAAAACTAGTGAAGGGTTTAGAGAACTTGTCCTATGAGGAGTGGCTGAGGCAGCTGGGACTGTTTAGCCTGGAGAAGAGGAGGCTCAGGGGGGACCTTATTGCTCTCTACAATTACCTGAAAGCAAGTTGTAGGGAGATGGGGGTTGGTCTCTTCTCCCACTTTATGAATGACAGGACAAGAAGGAATGGCCTCAAGTTGCATCAGGGGAAATTTAGGTTAGATATCAGGAAAAATTTCTTTACAGGGAGGGTTGTGAAGTATTGGAACAGGCTGCCCAGGGAGG